AGATATCAAACTTGCATTTATTTGAATAAACTGTAAAATTCTTTTTATCCCCATTATTGCAGGGGGCTCCCTGTAGCTGATGAAGATGTCGAGCTGATGAAGATGTCGAGCTGATGTCGAGCTGATGAAGATGTCGAGCTGATGACTTCGATGAAGTAGGTATAAGGGAGATAAACAATATTTCACAATTAAATAAGACTACAATTAATGCCATTGTTGTTTACATTCCATTGACTACATGGACGTCTTCATTTTATTATCACACGGTCATTCTAAGATAATCGGTACCGTTGTGAAGAATTTATTCAAATCCAACGACGTTGCCCAGATAATAGGGTGAATTGTGTACTTTTTAAAAGCAAAATTGTTTCGACAGTTTCCGTTATGCCAGGCCTTTCATGGAAAACCTTTTTTGTCTAATGATCTGAAGATTCTAACTATTAGACAAATAAACCAACTTGAGAAATCACGCCTCACACCTTTCAAAGTATATAAAAATTCCAACCGTGGGTTAACAGTCCTAGATATTGACCTGAGTTGAGTAACGGTCGATATGATATAATGACGTGTAAATTGTGTTGAAACGTTATGTACTATTGTTAAAGAATTGTGTTAATAATATATCATTCGCTTGTGGTTTTTATTAGACGGATTATTGACAGAGTTTTGTGTTTTAAGCTGTGTCATATTAGATTAAGATAAAATAGTACGCCACGTTACCAGAATGTTGAACTCTATTCCTAGTTCACGCTTAGTTCATTCTTAATTCAGTCTTATTTAACTCTCAGTTCAGCCTTAGTTCATTCTTAGTTCCCACTTAGTTCACGCTTAGTCCACTCTTAGTTCACTCTTAGTTCACACTTAGTTCACTCTTAGTTCACTCTTGGTCCACTCTTAGTTCACTCTTAGTTCACTCTTAGTTCACTCTTAGTTCACACTTAGTTCACTCTTGGTCCACTCTTAGTTCACACTTAGATCACTCTTAGTTCACACTTAGATCACTCTTAGTTCACACTTAGTTCACTCTTAGTTCACTCTTAGTCCACTCTTAGTTCACTCTTAGTTCACTCTTAGTTCACGCTTAGTCCACTCTTAGTTCACTCTTAGTTCACACTTAGTTCACTCTTAGTTCACTCTTGGTCCACAATTAGTTCATTCCCAATTCATTCATAGTTCACTCTTAATGTATTCTTAGTTCACTCTTAGTTCATTCCCAATTCATTTCCAATTCATTTATAGTTCACTCTTAATTTATTCTTAGTTCACTCTTAGTTCATTCTTAGTTCATTCATAGTTCACTCTTAATGTATTTTTAGTTCACTCCTAGTTCATTCTTAGTTCATTCCCAATTCAATTATAGTTCACTCTTAATTTATTCTTAGTTCACTCTTAGTTCATTCTTAGTTCACTCTTAATGTATTCTTAGTTCACTCTTAGTTCACTCTTAGTTTATTCTTAGTTCATTCCCATTTTATTTATAGTTCACTCCTAATTTATTCTTAGTTCACTCTAAGTTCATTCCCAATTCATTCATAGTTCACTCTTAATTTATTCCTAGTTCTCTCTTAGGACAGCTTTGTCTTCACAAAAGTTACTTTTTCTGTTTTTATCTTTTAGTATCCAATATCATACAAGTATCCAATTTTCCTGCTAATGAAACAGAAGATATAATTTCAATGTTTTTCCGAAAGAAAAAAATCACAGGAATGGAGGGTGCTAAATTTAAAATATTATCTTATGATGAACAAAGAAGAGTAGCGTTGATTGAATTTGAGGAGAGAGAAGGTAATTTTAGATAATATTAAATGTGAGGATTAATTATATCTATTGATTAGTATAAAGACTCATAAAATTCAGTATATTCAGATATTAATAAATCGATTCTAATTTTTGGCCTACAAATTCTTTCTGATAGCTTCTAATGGGCGTATATTACCTTACCTGGTGATTTAGGTTATCTTATATAGTGATACTTGTTGTTGTCGAGATTTTGTGTCCAATGACTCCCATGGTTTAAATTTAAGAAACTCATTGCTGAGTCCTGAGATTACCACAGGTATTAACAACTGATTTTAATGAATATTGGTAGGATTAGATTGATTGATCATTCCTCCTGTTTCTGAAACTACTGGCATGATGTGTACCATCTTGAATTATTCCCATTTGATACAGTGTTCACTACATGTTATATTTTTATAAAGTTGTATTCAGACTATTGAGAAAGAAAGAGATAGAATTCCATGGTCAAACAATCACAATTTTACCACATAAACTGACTGTAGCTGACTGTAATAACCCAAGAAAACACCTGAAAGTGACAGGATTTAATTCTAGAACTTCTACAGAAATGAAAGAAATGTACTTTGAAAGTAAAAAGAAAAGTGGCGGTGAAGCTGAAAGTGTTAATTTTGTATCTTATGAGACAATTGAAGGTAAGATAAGAGCTGGGGTGAATCTAGAAAATACCTGAGGGGAGGGGCACAAATTATCTCTCGAATGCGAGGCCGGATCCCCTTCAGACCAGAGACGTCTAGAATCCAACAGATTTCAGATGGAAATTGTTTATATATTACTTATAGTTGTGATGAAGGTAAGTTTAGGTACATTGGGAATAGAAAGTGAAACTGATATGTAATAATCATAGACAGTTTCACTTTTAATTTTTTTATCAGTCTACAAAGTGACTTGACTTTCGACTTTTTATTAAAAATAGCCTGTTTGTCCTCAATTGGTATTAAAGTGAAATTTCTGATGAGTTTGATATTTGAAATTTTCAAAACTCCATCCAATTCATTTCATTTGAAATAAAACTTGTTATGTTTAGATGCTGAAATAGTTTGTAGAAAACAACATACAATCGGAAATGATACAGTGTATGCTTCAAAATATGTACCACCACCTAAATGGAATCATCGGTTTTTGATAAGTAATATTTCTGAAGATACATCTTTGATAAAACTGAAAAATTTTTTAGAAGGAAAGTTAGGATGTGAAACAAAATATTATTTAACGAAGTAGGAGATAAAGCTATAGTTTATTGTTCATCTGATCAGTACGGTAGGATTCTAATTATATATTGGTAACAGATAACGCGGATAATTCTAGGTACACATGGGTTTGAAGGCTCAAATTTCGACGGTGAGCTATGAAGACTATTACTGATTGTCTTAGCTAAAACTTACCCGATTCTGAGACTAAAATATGATTTGTCAAAAAGAATGGCCTATCTGTCCTTTTATTGCATTCTGTAGCTACTTAATGCACAGTGACTTAAAGGGACAGATTCGCCATTCGTTATACCAATCATACCCTAGTCTCAGAAACGGAAATCTATTAGCTAAGCGAATCAGAAATAATGTTAGCAGCTTACAATTGAAATTGTAGCCGTCAAATCCATGTGTACCTAGAATTAACCACGTTTGAAAGTTAAAATGACGACTCGTTATGTATACCCAGAATTAACCACGTTTGAAAGTTACTCGTCATTTTAAGATACTTTGTCATATATATTATACAGTAAAAGAAAAGGATATTCTATTAGATCTATAATTAGATATTTAAATTAGATCCAGAATCATCGTCTCTTTTTACTGATAAAAATGGTCGATATTTAAAGAAGGTATGGTTAAGAGGTATATAGCCTTCATCAAGATTATGCCCGTGAATAAACAACAATATCAATTACATGTATATCTGACATATTTAAATATTTCATGCAAGATATAAAAACATTTTTTTGAAGAAAACAAAATTCATACAAAATATTGTAAATTACCCCGAAGTCATGAACTATTCATAAAGAAATATTTGGCGCGAGATTTACCAGAATTGGCTATGAAATTAAAAGTTAAGTTAACCATGGATGATGAGACAGTTGGAATAAGAGTTGAGGGAACAGAAGGAAGAATACAAGAAATTTTGGAGACATTAGAAAAGTTTAGTAACGGTATTGACTGTCAAGAGATAAAAATTGGAAACACAATTCATAAAAAGGTCTTAGAGTCAGAGAGGGGTTCAGAAATATTAAAAACTATTGAGGGACAAGCGAGATGTGTTATCTTTAAAGATTCAATGAATGATGAAAAGGCATTACTAGGCAAATTCGAAATAAATAGTGCAACTATTAACGTAATACAAGTTGATATTACGACTCTATCGGTGGATGTAATTGTTAATGCTGCTAATGAAAACCTACTGCTTATTGGAGGAGTTGCTGGTGCTATCAGAGACAAAGGTAAGTGTAGATATTAATAAATGTAAGTAAGTGGTAGAAGGTAGTTTGTTTTCATCATACGTAATAATAGATTACCCCAATAGGTCTAATATTGTTTTATCTACAAAAAACGTGAAATAAAAAGATGATTAGGTTTCAGTAGTCAGAAAAGTTGCCTCTGACAATAATATTTGGACAGTTATCGGCTAGAGTAGAGCCAGAAACATCCAAGTTTCTGTTTTATGGGCATTCCCCACATCTTCAGACATGCTTTTTTTCTTACATGATGTTACTTTTACGATTACTCTAAATCAAGCTATATTTATCTGGCATTCTCTTGTAGGTGGGTCTTCTATCCAGCAGGAATGTGATGATTATGTTTCTCTAATCGGGCCTGTTCGTGAAGGGGATTGTATGATGACTGAAGCAGGCAATCTTCCATGTAGAAGAATAATCCATGCAAATGGTGGCCCACGATTGCGTGGTGGAAAATCACTTGAAAAACTAACAGAAGTTATTAACAGAGTATTAGATATGGTGGAAACACATGGTTTAATATCAGTTGCTATACCTGCTAATACTACTGGAGTATTTGGCTATCCACTCCAAGCAGCAACAGATATCATTGTGCAGTCTATTGCAAGCTATTTTAAAAGAGTTAAAAGATCATCCATTACAACTATTTATTTGATAGACATCTTACCTCTCCATAGTTTTATACACAGTCTTCAATCGTCTAGTGATTTCAAACAAGTTAATTTGGATCATCCAAGATATATTTCAATGGCACAAAATAAGGTGAGGAATATAGAAACCAACTAATACCAATAAATATGAATCTTTGAAACTATATTTGTGTTATGGCAAAAGGAATATTATAGCATGTACAATTGCCAACAACTAATCCAAAATTAGTTGTATATATTGTATATATTTAGAAAAATCAAAGATAGCCATATTTCACTTAAACTACTTGCCAAGACTCAAGCAGAGCCTTCCAACCCTTGTAAATATGGAAAACCATACAGTTGAATGCTCAATTTGTTCATCAAAATCAAAATTCATTCTCTTAATCAAGAATTTGTTACGTTATATTTTTTAAGAATCATTTTCACTTTTAAAAGTATAAAAGCTACTTTTAATACATGTTTCATTTAGCATTTCTTAAGCAAATAAAAATATTGGCTAAAATCTCTTTAAAAGGTGGGTTTCCTTATTTTTTTTAGCTAACTATTTGATTAATTGGTGTTTCTAATGAATTATCATGCATTCATACCATTATGTTCTTTTTGCATATAATCAAGAGTTTTAACCAATCATAAATGTACATGTATGTACATTCTGGATAGACAAAAAAGACTTTTTGACCTTTCTTGATTGGTCACTCATTGGAATTCTGCTCGTAATTTCCTTCTAATTGAGCTAATTATGAATTAAATATGGACATGCGAGACTAAACTGATATGTTTCCAAGTAATTAGAACAACTCTACTTTCTATTCGTGTAAGTATTAGAATTTTCATTTTCATATATGAAAATAAGGGAACCCATCTTTAATATCTCAGCGTAGATTGTTTCAGAAATTCAATCAACATAATTACCTTTCAGCCTTCCGAAGTTAATAGGACACCCCGACCTAGACTGCCGATGAAAGGTAGGTATTATTAATTTGTTTGTTTCTACAGTTACAAGAATTTTCTGTAGAACACAAACTTAAAAAAAAAATTACCCCTGTACAGGATTAAGCCTTAAGGCCTCATTGAACTTATTCTATAATTCCATTTAATTATTAATTATCACTAAAAGAAAGAACTCCCAGTTGATATATGTAATAAAAACCCGTTAATCAAGATCTCGTCCAAAGAATTGTAAAATCGAGAGTTATAGTAGTGGACTCCTCCATAGAGAAATACCATCAGGTATCTTTGTTTTTATTGTAGCAATGCCAATTTTTCATAGCTTCCACTTTTATTTCACAGGGTACAGTAATGTACAAGTACCTGTGTATGCTGTCACTTTTTATTCTGATGACTCTGATGAAATTACAAAAGCTATGAACAAACTTAACAAATCAATCAAACTTGAAGTTCAGAAGTTGAAAATTCCTATTGATGATGTTACACTAACTGATGCCGAGGTAATTTTTATACACTCAATTGCTCTCTTAGATTAACATGAATTTTGTTAAACGGTTGATGTGTTATTGTTTTCAACTTGGTCAGAATTTGTCGACATATTGTACTATGATATTGAAATAACTTGGAAATTTACTTTTTATGATCAGTGGGTTTGGTTAACCCCTTCCCCCACCCCAAGAAGTGCCTTCTCAAATCCCAAAAGGGGCGTGTGTTTAATGCACAATTGGATCAACATGAAATGTGAAGGGTAAATTTGCGCCGGAAAAATGGTTTTAAAAGAATACTTTTCACTGGAAAGTGTTCATGGAAGTATTATTTCTAAAGAGATTTACAAGATAAAACAATAATTCAGCGAAAGATTCAGTTTGAGTATCAGTACCAGGATATTACTGATGTTAAAAAAAAACAAGATAAAACTAGAGCTGTGAACAGCACTGAGCGTGGCCCGTGATACTTTGCCTGATAGCTGTAAGACTTTTTTGAACTTCAAGCCCGGTGTTGACTCGACCACTTTTAGTAAAGAGCCAAGCTAAATGAAATGTTTTGTGAAAGGGTAAATTAAATCTTGTATCAATATAACTTATCGTATGGTTATTTTAATAGCTTCATGGTAGCTATAACATACAGGTATGTGTGAAATGTGAACATTATGTGACGGAATTTCTTTACTGATATAAACATGATCTATAAGTGTCCCACCTTCAGTAGTGTAATGCTGAACAAGTTGTTGAAAACCAAATTTTTGAAAACAATTTAGTATAGACAAATGACCCTCCAAGATATTTTGGTTGAAATCCCCCATAATAACATAGCCTGAACCAGATTCTTGTAATTCAACTAATAATCTTTCTGACGAACGTGGTAATACAAACCCTTTGTTACGTCAAGATAAGATAAAAGGTAAATGATTTAATCGTTTTTTAATAAGACAATTTTGCAAACTTGCAATCATAGACGAAACCATTGTTGACCATCTGTATAAACAGTCAGATTGATGTTTTCTCATATGAATGGAAATGTCTAATATTGCTATCAATCTTGTGTACCTGACTCGCTTGTACAGTTGTAAGATTTAGGAGAAACATTTATAGGAAATATTTCATCTATTTCTTTATCGTTTTGATCATTTGTTCCAGAAGCTACAGCAGCAACAGGATTACCTACATCTTGGACAATAACCAATTATACTAATTTGAACAAAGTTCAATTAAATGCTACAAGTCCTGAATATAAACAAGTGGAGTGTAATTTTAATGCAACGCTCGGAAGCCATAATATACCAATAGTAAAGGTATTTGTAACGAATATCAATAATAAAATAAAGTTAAACATGTAAGATTGAATTTAGCAACATGAATATGCCGAGAACTGAGTTTATGGACATCTGTGTTTTTTATGTCAATAATAACATGTAGAGAAAAACACACATACTACTGTCATAGAATAGACTGTCATAGAAGTCATAGAATAGACTGTCATAGAATAGACAGTCATAGAATAGACTGTCATAGAATAGTCTGTCAAAGAATAGACAGTCATAGAATAGACTGTCATAGAATAGACTGTCATAGAATAGACAGTCATAGAATAGACAGTCATAGAATAGACTGCCATAGAATATACTGTCAGGGAATAGACTGTCATAGAATAGTCTGTCATAGAATAATCTGTCATAGAATAGACTGTCATAGAATAGACTGTCATAGAATAGACTGTCATAGAATAGACTGCCATAGAATAGACAGTCATATAATATACTGTCAGGGAATAGACTGTCATAGAATAGACTGTCATAGAGTAGACTGTCATAGAGTAGACTGTCATAGAATAGACAGTCATAGAATAGACTGCCATAGAATAGACTGTCAGGGAATAGACTGTCATAGAATAGTCTGTCATAGAATAATCTGTCATAGAATAGACTGTCATAGAATAGACTGTCATAGAATAGACTGTCATAGAATAGACTGCCATAGAATATACTGTCAGGGAATAGACTGTCATAGAATAGACTGTCATAGAATAGACAGTCATATAATATACTGTCAGGGAATAGACTGTTATAGATTAGACTGTCATAGAGTAGACTGTCATAGAGTAGACTGTCATAGAGTAGACTGTCATAGAATAGACAGTCATAGAATAGACTGCCATAGAATATACTGTCAGGGAATAGACTGCCATAGAATATACTGTCAGGGAATAGACTGTCATAGAATAGACTGCCATAGAATATACTGTCAGGGAATAGACTGCCATAGAATATACTGTCAGGGAATAGACTGTCATAGAATAGTCTGTCATAGAATAATCTGTCATAGAATAGACTGTCATGGAATAGACTGTCATAGAATAAACTGTCATAGAATAGACTGCCATAGAATATACTGTCAGGGAATAGACTGTCATAGAATAGACTGTCATAGAATAGACTGTCATAGAATAGACAGTCATATAATATACTGTCAGGGAATAGACTGTCATAGAATAGACTGTCATAGAATAGACTGTCATAGAATAGACTGTCATAGAATAGACTGCCATAGAGTAGACTGTCATAGAGTAGACTGTCATAGAATAGACAGTCATATAATATACTGTCAGGGAAAAGACTGTCAGGGAATAGACTGTCATAGAATAGACCATCATAGAATAGACTGTCATAGAATAGACTGCCATAGAATAGACTGTCATAGAATAGACTGCCATAGAATAGACTGTCAGGGAATATACTGTTATAGACTGTTATAGAATAGACTGTCATAGAGTAGACTGTCATAGAATAGACTGTCATAGAATAGACTGTCATAGAATAGACTGTCATAGAGTAGACTGTCATAGAATAGACAGTAATAGAATAGACAGTCATAGAATAGACAGTAATAGAATAGACTTGATAAAGGGATTAGTCCCGAAACGTAGCCACATTTACACTTATTGTATCGACTTTTTTCCTTTATCATAATTCGACTCGTCGTTTTATTTTTATGTACCGTAATATTATAACACCAATATAAAAACATAGTGATGTAAATTTATGTAAACATCATAACTAGTTTTGGAGTTCTAAAATGATCGTTAAAGTTTAGACTTTAAGATATGTTAAGGGCCATATTTTTC